ACGTCGTACGTCGTACGTCGTACGTCGTACGTCGTACGTCGTACGTTGTCCGCCGTACGCAAAATTTGTCCATCGATTATCTCACCCCCCAGAAAAGTTATTTAAAATCTGACTTCACGGGATGATTGGGGGTCCCGAGGAATAGAAATCATTAGATTTTGAGCGATTTTGGTTGATGGAAAAAAATTTCATGCCTGGAGTGATACCTATGAAAAAGAGTCCAATTTTCGTCCAAAAGTCATACTTAATGTAGACTTAAACACTCAAAAATATGTAATGGGGGGTTTTTTGGCACGAGAAAACCGAATCCGAGGTTAGTTTTGAGATACAATCAATTTTTGATACAGTTTCCTTGAAAAAATCACAAAAAAATTGAATTTTCGTATGGGAGCCATGCCTGTTTGCTACTTTAATGACGCGAAACTTTGCACAGACTATTTTTTACACAAAATAATAACATTCTGAAAGTTTGAAGAGATTTCAATCAAAATTAGGGGTAACTCCCATACAAAAATTACAATTTTTGGCTCAAATATTTTGTATGGGAGGTACTCTTGATTTTGGTTGAAATTTCTCCAAACCCTCCGAATGTTATTTGTGAAAAAAATAACCTGTGCAAAGTTTCACGCCATTAAGGTAGCATACAGACATGGCTCCCATACAAAAATCCAAATTTTTTGTGACTTTAGTTATGAAAAGTGTTTCAAAAATAATTTTTATGGCAAAATTAACGTCAGACATATTTTTTATAGTGTTTTGTTTGAAAATAGAATACTTTTAAATGCCGCACAAATGGGTTCATCATGAAAGTGTTAAAAATCTTTTCTCGGGTACTTCTGCTATTAAATTAAAGAATATTTCGTTGCCAAAGTTGAAACATATTTTTTGGTTTCGAACTTTACGACGCTTGAAAGGCTTGAAAAATCGAACAAATATTATTTTGAACTTTCTTAATAAAATACGCAACTACCACCGTGCGGAAAAGTTCGTCTTACTCCCGTAAGACTCTTTATTTTAAATTACACAAAGCGGTTATGAATATTTTGTATGGTCTATTGAAACTCTGCACATCCTGAGCAGGAATAAAATAATAAAACTTACCTGATATAATAATTTGTGATAATCCATCCTTGTGTTGTAGATATGATAAGATCCCCATATTTCTTCAAGTTAAACAATGATTTTATGAATGTTTTGCTTATGATCTGTTAAAAAAATGATTAAAAAAATATTTATTCAAGATTTTTTTTTTTTGATATTGTTCATTTTTCATCCTGAGCAGGAATAAATAAAGAGTCTTACGGGAGTAAGACGAACTTTTCCGCACTGTGGTAGTTGTGTATTTTATTAAGAAAGTTCAAAATAATATTTGTTCGATTTTTCAAGCCTTTCAAGCGGCGTAAAGTCCGAGACCAAAAAATATGTTCCAACTTTGGCAACGAAATATTCTTTGATTTAATAGCAGAAGTACTCGAGAAAAGATTTTTCACACTTTCATGATGAACCCATTTGTACGACATTTGAAAGTATTCTATTTCTAACAAAACACTATAAAAAATATGTCTGACGTTAATTTTGCAATGAAAATTATTTTTGAAACACTTTTCATAACTAAAGTCACAAAAAATTTGGATTTTTATATGGGAGTCATGTCTGTATGCTACCTTAATGGTGTGAAACTTTGCACAGGCTATTTTTCTCACAAAAAAATAACATTCGGAGGGTTTGGAGAAATTTTAAGCAAAAGTAAGAGCACCTCCCATACAAAATATTCGTTTTTGATCCAAAAATTGAAAATTTTGTATGAGAGGTACCCCTAATT